TAGTCGTGAAAAGAAGGAGCGAGCCATGCTCTGCAGCTCATCCTCACTCACCAAACAAACTCTCGTGACCTGACCGACGAATCACGGAGCTCGGCCACATTAAGACTCCACGGCAGTCGAGCGCTGACATTTCATTCTGCGGCCGAGTTTTTGTATCGTTACTCCCTTGTATCTTACCAGTAAAATGTCATTATAGCATCTGAATTCAACCAGAAGGCAAACATTTTCTGCTGGAGCGAATGGAGCCGAGTGGTTTGACATGGATTTCTCAGACAACCATTTTTTTGGTTCATAGAAAGTCTACATTTATCCAGAATATATGGCATATTGGTCCTACACAGGGTAGCTGTGAAACTAGACAGCTTTGGAAACACATGGATTGGACCTTTTTGACTATATTAGTTTCATTTTGCCTTTTTGAGACTTCAGAGAAACTACCCTGCAACTTCTGTGTCAAACCTTAAAGGCCAATATCATTCTGGATTGTTAGCACAATGCTAGAATCATTCCAGGAGTTGAGGTTCTAGCAAGTCTACCCAACTTCAAATCATGCAGTGCTCAGTGAACCTGCAGAGAGACCCAAGAGCTCCATCTCAGACTAACTCAGCATGTTAAAGGTTAAAGTTCATGAGCATACAAGTAGAAGAAGACTGAACAAGTATGGCTTGCTTCTCTCTAAAAAGAACAAATAAATGAAGAAACCACAAGACTTCTGGAACAAACAGCGGCATGAACAGCTGCACGTTTGGAGGAAATGAAACAGTTATCATCACAACGGTGGAGGGATGGTGCTTTGGGCTCGGTGCAGTCACTGAAAGGACCATGAACTCCTCTGTATACCAAAACATTTTAGAGTCAGATGTGAGGCCGTCTGTCCCACAGCTAAAACTGGGTCAACAGTCACCACCACTTGTATCACACGACACCATAACGGACAGAAATCCAGGACTTCCAGTTATACTGCTAACACAACTTCAGCTCTTTGCAAGCATCTGCACAGACAGCATGCTAACACTAAGCTAGCCAGCTAGCTAAGACCCAGAGTGAAGGCCGACCCCAGCCCAGCAGCCAGACCCTGAACTTCAACAGGTAACAAATGGATGAGCAGTCAGGCTGCAGCATCCGTTGTGCCTATTTAAGTTTCTGAAGTACATCATCATCAAGTACAAGAACCTCAGTTTGATCTGAATTAAGAAGCAGAAAGTTAGCGGCCATCCAGGTCTTTGTCTTTAAGACATTCCTGCAGTTTAACTCAGTGGTGTGTGTTATCTGGCTTCATGGACAGATAGAGCTGGGTGTCATCTGTAGGGATGGAATCAAAAAGTGGTTCTTTTATTTTTAATTGCACAAAAGGACGAGAGCGCGACGGTAAAGTGCAGACTGCTCCAGGACAGACACAGCTGCATTACACTGCTAACACAACTTCAGCTCTTTGCAAGCACATGCAGACAGCATGCTAACGCTAAGCTAGCCAAGAGTGATGTTAAAGCTGGGTAAATGCTGACCCCAGACCAGCACCGTGATGAAGTGAGCAGCTGCTGAACCTCAACAGGTAACGAAGGGATGAGCTTCTGTCCTACCTGTTCATGTTTCTACAGTAGAATCACCATGACGACTGCTCTCTTTGTGCTGGTTTTCCTCTTTGCTTTATGTTGTCAGAAAAAGTGTATGCAGTGACAATGTCTGCTATGTCTTCTAATGATACTGCCTAAGGGAAGCATGTATGATGTAAACAGAACTGGTCCTAGCACTGAACCCTGTGGAACTCCATGATTAACCTCAGTGTGTGAACAAATCGGAGTCTATTAGGTAGATATGATACAAACATAGATAGCTGGCTTCTACACAACCAAACTTCTTTTCGCCCCCTGCTGGCCATTAGAAAGTCTGCAGACGAATACACTCCAGACCAAAGCAGCCTGCAGTGCATGATTTTACTGCTCAGGTCATTGTAACTTTCTCTCTACTTATTCAGGGAATAAGTACTTTTTGTTCCATTTCTTTCCTTCTTGTTCCTCGCTGAGGCTTCACAGAGACAAATTCCCAATGGATCAAAGCATGACGTCAACAGATTAAAGCCCAAAGCAGAGCAGGAGCTCTGTTCTCTCTGAGGATAGAAACAGTGAGTGTAAACATCTCATTTATTCAACCACTCCCTTCATCCAACACCGCTGCATGGTTTTATTTCTAATGCTTTAAGATTTGATTGGATTCTCAGGTCGCTGTCACGACCCGGGCGAAAGCAGCTACAAGACTCTACAACACGCAGCGAAGAGCGACACGCAGCTTTAAAATTCATGCTCATTAAAAATAGACAGCAGATTGTTTTATGTATAATGCAACACATGTCAGGGATAATGAGCTGCACGACAGGAAACAAGTCGGTCAAAACCCAGCAGACTCCTCATGTGAGAGGAGAGCAGCTTTATTTACGGTTTGGATGAAGAGGCCTGCATCTGTGAACGCTGACGTTTGCAGCCACCCGCACTGCCTGCAACCTTTAAATATAATACTTCCCTTTTTGCCAAGCAGGGAAGCAGGTCGTGACTTAAAGTTCTGTCTTTGTTTCTCCCACGAAATGTGATGCGGTGCACTACAGAAGCTCAGCAGAGCATGTGTGAATGAAGAAGGACAAAATCTCTTTCATTGTTCGCTAAAATCCTTTGGACTCCCTGAGTTTAGCTCTGAAAGACGTTCCACACTAGTGCGTAACATTAACTCAGAGAAACTCATCAATCCTGGAACTGGCTCATTTCTTCTGACATCAACTGGTCTTTTTCCAGTGTGGAATGATTGTACAGCATACATCTCCAAAGGCTTTGATAAACCAGAACCAATCCACACACACACACAAGTATACACACAGGCTCAAATATATACATACACCCCTGATATTTGGTTAAATGCCTCTTAGCCACTTACATCTCTGCCAGATGCTTTTGGGATCCAACAACAAGCTTCCAGCTTGCTGGCCGATATTTGGCCGCTCTTCTTGGACGGACTGGCAGAGTCATTTAGTTGGTTGGTTTTCCTCCTGTGGTCCACAAACTTTTGGCTTTTGGGAATGCCATTCCTGAAGCTTGATGTTATTCTGCTTTCATTCCAAAATCAGTTTTGATGGTTGTTCGGGATCGTTGTCCTGCAGGAACACCAAACTACATCCAAGGTTCAACCGTCTATGTATTTATTTGAGGTGAAGAATGTGTATGTAGTCCTCTTTCTACATGATTTCACCAACTTTATGCTGTGTACCTGCACCACTGGCAGTGAAACAGCCCAGAGCGTGATGCTGCCACCGCCATGCGTCACAGCTGCAGTGTTCTCAGGGTTGAAAGCCTCACCTTTGCTCCTCCAATCAGCTCCATCTTTGTCTCGTCTGACCATCAAACTTTTCTCCAGAGGCCGTTTGGCTCGTCCACATGCTGCAGATTTCAGTTGAGCTCGTTGATTTTGGAGCAGGAGCTTCTTTCTTGGTCCATGGAGATGTGAGACTGGCTTCACTGTGGAAGTGACACTGGTGTTCCAGCAGATTCCAGTCCACAGCAGGCTTGATCCTGGGTGGGTCCTGAACATTGAACAAGTGTTACCACTTTGCCAAGGAGTGGATGGAGACTTCTGAGCATGACTCCACTGAAGTATTAAATAATGAAATGAGGAATATTTTGCTCATTTTGGATTTGACGCCACACATTGGCCAGTTCTGTTTCTTTCTACATGTGTGTCATGTTGACAGTGAATGTTTACTGTGTGTAAAACTGGATTTTGTTAGTTGATGAAACCCTGCATTGAAAGAACATTATAAAAACTCTAACGATCGTATCTTCTGTTCATTGCATTTATTTAATTCTTTGTCTTTTTATGAAATTCTGTCATGTTTTTCATGGTCAGGATTTTTCTACGAGGCTTGTATAGAATGTGAGTATATTAAGTCCTAAAGGAGCTCCTCCTACTGACAGATAGGACTGTGAGCAGGACACACAGAGTAAAGTCTGCCTGCTAACCTCCTGCAGAGCAGTGATGCAGACATACGGTCATGACAAAGACGCATCGTTATTTCTTTATCCAACAATAAGACAAAAAGACGTACGAGATGTTTGGTGTCACGTGTCCAAAGAACATCGTTCCAGAAGTGTTTTGTTGAGACTCAGCTGTGCAAACCTCAGCTGTGCTGCCGAGTTAGAGCCAACCTTACAAACACATAATACTTTCGTGACCTTTAGCCTTTAACATGCAAACTGAGGCTGTGGAGTCTCAGATGGGACTCTTGGCTTTTGGACGTCCACTCCTGGGAGGACTGGTGAATGTTTTTCCTTGGTGTGAGCGTGTGATCAGCAGCACCGGCTGATGAACCGACCTCTTAATTCCTCGCTGTATTTCGTTTTCCACACTTTCCTGCTTCTACGTTTGGCTTCATAAAAAACGACAGAGTGTAAAAGTGTCTGCATTCAAACCAGATGATTTGCATCATGTTTCGATATGTAAAACATTAGAAACTTTGTTTTAAACCGCGACGAGAATAAAGCAGCGATTCTGAATCTGTCTCCCAGTAACGATCAATAACACAAAATACCATTTCGATATAACAGTGATATTAATCACAGAACAGGTCAAGCTTAAATAAAACCCAACATTTAGATTTACATTTCTTATTGAAGTCACTGAAATTTGAATTCATGCTTATTAAAACTCTAACTTCACGGCCATCAGCTGCCAAACTGGACGCTGTGCTAGGAAGAAGAGAAACGCAGAATCTGGGCTGTAAGCAGGACGTGAGCAGCTTCCAGCTAAAAAATGGTCCGGAGTGAGTTTTCAGTTAGAAACCTGCTTTCCAGGCTTCATACTTCCTAATCCTCAGCACGCTGTGACGATGCTCCGACCTCTGACCTGCTCTTTATCTGTAAAGTCAGACATCCAGAGAGTGCGGCTTCCCCTCCCGTTGACCTCTGCGAGCAGACGCTGTGAGCTTCTCCCTGATAAGCGGATGTGCTGTGATATCTCACCTGCATCGATGATCCCTCCACTCGTGCCACGTAGGCGAATCGATCGAGGAAGGTGACGGTTACGGGGACGGCGACGAAGAATCCGCTAACGAACGCTCGCAGGCAGCGTCGCCCCGCCGTGGCCTGCTGAGCCATCGCAGACCTGGACAGGGAAGAAGAACATGAGAGCGGGAAGTCGACGTGACCGCGACAACACGCAGGAAAATAAACAGCGCTCAGATTAGACTACGTTAGATTAAACTTTATTGATCTCTGCGGGGAGGCGGGGCAATGCAGCAGTGGGAGATTAATAGAAACACACCAGAGAAAGTAGAGGTGGGAATCACCATACATCCCACGATACGATATTATCACAATACTTAACGCACGATACGATATTATTGCAATTTTTTAAAATATTTTGCGATATTCAGATTCTGTATATAAAGGTAAATTTATCAATATTCATTTTATCTAATAACAAAGTCTCGCACTCAGTCTTTCTCTCATTTCAGTTTTATTGTTGACAAATGAACGGTTTGTATTACAGTCTAGTCCAACTTAACTGAATGCAACCATCTGGTACAATTACAGCTATTCTGAACTATGCAATATGAAAACTATGCAGCCCCTTCAGCAACTGAAGAAAGTAAATTAAAACAAAATATAATTTTACATTAAATAAAAAGTTTTAAACTTAATTAAAATAAAACATGTCTTAAATTAAAATAAGTAAACTGTCATGTTTATTGCTGCCATAAAAAAAGTTAAACACATTTGGACAGTGTCAGGATTCTTGCTCAGAAAAAGGATCAACGTGCTCTGGAAGCCCGTTTCCGCCACTAAATAAAAACAAAACAGCTAGTATCCATAACTCGAAATTTCAAGTTACTTGTCTCGAAATTTCGAGTTACTTTTCTCAAAATTTCGAGTTAGCTCTGCCAATCAAAAATATACGTGAATGAGGTCGCTTTCTTGTTACCCGGAAGCATATGGCGCAGAGGAACGCGCACTCAAAAACGGATCCCAACAAATTGGCGCTTTCGCGAGTACGTTTGCTGATAGTAACACCATGTGATTCAGCTAATAACACAGGGGATTTCATCATTTGTGAAGCCAGGCTGAAAACACTCAGCAATCTGTGCATTCACGACTGGATGTAATACCGGTAGCTTAGCTGTAGCATTTGTAGCTGAGGGCTTCAGCTTCCGGGTAACAAGGAAATGACGTCATTCACGTAGATTACTGATTGGCAGCGCTAACTCGAAATTTCGAGTTGCTTTTCTCAAAATTTTGAGTTAATAAATCGAAATTTCGAGTTCATTTGTCGAAATTTGAGAAAATAACTCGAAATTTCGAGAAAATAACTCGAAATTTTGAGTTATGGATCCTTTTTTTTTTTTTTTTTGTGCGGAAACGGGCTTCATCAAACAGGATGTCCGCTCTGAAGTCAGAGCACGAAACCTTTTTGTAACAAAATATCGATTTCTGCTGTCCCTGTATCGATACATTAGTAGCAAACAGAATATCACGATGCTACACAGAATCGATTTTTCCCCACCCCTAAGAGAAAGACCTGGAAGCAAAAAGGTAAATAAGGTGTGTTAAGTGAAAAGTACATGGGAAACCTTTCAGATACACTGAAATCAGTCATTGACCTGAAAATGGATGTTTTCCACATGACTGACATCACATTAGGGGAGCATGAAATTCACAAGGGAAAAATGGCATCAAAATTCTCAATTAACAAGAAAAAATGTGGTGAAGGTTTCATAGATCAAAAAGATTTGCAAAAACCAAAATTGTAGTTTGTGACAAAGAAAATGCAAATCAGGCAATTTAGAAAATTTAGGTAAAACGAAACAAGAGGGAGGCTTCCAGTCGCACAAGAGTCACTGACAAGAAGCATTCCTACAATAAGTAAAGCTGTTGTAACAATGCTTGTGCCAAGGTCATGCACATATCCAGTTATACCTCCAAAACTGTCTGAAAGCATCAAGCAGATGAAACCTGCAGCAGGACTGGAAACAAACATGCAACAGGTCATAAAGATGCAAGAACAATGAGCCCCGCAGCACACAACACGGGGTAGTGATGTTCTGCAATGTTTGATACAAAAGCATCAGTGGAACTGAACATTTTGTGCGCCATTAAAGTGAAAAGCACAAAGACTCGAGCTGCTGGTGGAGACAAATATTCATCTAAAATCTGCCTTAACCATTATATTTGAAACGTTATATGATATTTGGAGTCGTGTGTGTGAAACCTGATCTAAATGATTGCTGCTTGCATTCTTTAGAAAAATGTGTTATACTTTCCAAATTAAGAGACGGCCCTGCCTGCTGCGGGTAAACCAACGACCATGACTGACGAAAACTCGCCACAGAAAGAAGTCGTCCTTTTGCAAGTTCTTATCGCAGGTTTGGCGACAGCGAACGCTGAAAACACATCACGCTGAGCCCGTTCCCCTCCTGACAGAGTTTTTCATCCACTCTGCTGGTGCGCTCCAGGAAGCCCAGACAGGCGTGAAATGACCGAGCAGCTGGCGGCGGCGGCGGCAGCCATGCACCGCTGCCTTCGGCTAACAGCTAACAGCCTCGCCTCCACGTCGGCCGTCCTCACTCTGGAGATCTGCCACAGCTATTACCTCCACATCACAAGGCTTCAGATGAAACATCATCAAAGCACACTGTACTCTGCCTCCACGCTTTCAGAGAGTGTCGGCGAGGCCGCGTGAACACATTCAGGGATTAAAAAAGCTAATCTGTTTCTCCCTCTAATTCAACGTCTCAATGCAACGTGGCAGTTTACCAGCATACTGCATGTCAATACCAGGAAGCTTTTTCAGTACTGTGAGGCGAAGAGGCGCAGGAACACTTTCCCAACATACCAGCAGACAGACTGCAGAAACCCTGTTAGTATGAAACGCTCCCAAGAAAAACTGATTTCTTGGCTCCACACAGAAGAATCCAAGTTGTAGGTGGAAGTAAACAAACTGCCATCATCTCGCTTGCAAACTTGCACTCGAGTTCCAGTTTAAGCAGTTTTCAGCAAAGAAGACAGAAAAACCTGCAGGAGATGTTTAAGGGAGACTTCTGTGCACTCAGGCTCCAACAGAATCGCACTGTGTTCGCTGCAGACAGACTCACGAGCTGCCTCGTCAGGTCTGCGGACTTCCAACCTCTGGACTGCAGCTGCTGCTTTTCAGCGCTGGGCGAGCGCAGCGGTACACGAACAGATTCTCGACCTGCAGCCAGCATCCCTGCAGCTCACAGAGCCACAACATCAACCTGATCAGCAGGTCTGCAGGGACGCACAGACCAAACGGGCCAAACAGTGTGTTTGATGTTCATGTAGCTCAAGTTTAACTTTCAAGCTTTTTTTACAGCTTTTTCGGAGTAACCGAGTCGTGTTTGGTGGTCATGCTGCTGGGCAGCACACAGCAACAGCAATTTAGCTTCATTATATTGTAGAGAAGGGAGACGTACCTACAGCCAATACGTCCGAAACTCACAGAAAAGTCTATTAAATATTGGGGTGAAACGTCTCTTATATATGTGACGTAACTATGCAATTTATGAAAACTATGCAGCCCGTTCCATGAAGCGGTTTAAAAGGTGGCTGTTTGCTGTCACTGGGCGCTGACAGTTAACTAATCAGAGGCTAAACAGCCATCAGCAGAATAGGGCTGATAGGGTTTTACCAGCAGCGCATTGACAAAGGGAAACACGGTGGAGCAGGACGGACAACAACCCACAGGTGTATTTGCTGTTTGGACAACATTCAGGTTTAACTCGATTTCTCCCTGAGGGAAATCTGTCTGCAGCCATGGAGACAAATACTGACAGCAGACACACTGTACAACCCGAGAAGCTCAACCGGACAATAAAATAATTACATGTACATTTATAAATTACACAATAAGGTCAGTTCTTGACTCAGGCTAAAGGACTACTGGAGCATTTGGGGAACTGCTAGCTTTATTTGTCCCTTGATAGTGAGAAACGAGCAGAGCAGCAGCTCGGCTCTCTGCAGCATCTGCCCCATGCACATCACAGAAATCATTTCACAGAAGTGCTGGAGATGGAAATGCTGTCAGTCACATCATCGTGTTCACAGCTGGGTTTGTGCTTCACAGGTAGGCAGCGACTTTTAGATCTGGTGTATTTGGGAAATGTGGAAAGAGTCAGGCTAACTTTGTCCAGTGCTGTTGGCCAACAGGGCGGCGGTGGTGCCACTGCTGGCACACAGAGGAAGAGGAGAGGGGGAAGGCATCGTAGGAGGCAGCGAGAGAGAAAGGAAGGGCAGGAGTGCAAAGGTGAGAGAAGGAACTCTGAAAGGAGGAGCGATGACTGGAAAATGGAGACGGCTGCGAGGGAGGAGGAACGACGAAGACCACGGAGAAGATAGATGGCACGCAGAGGGTTGGAGTGACAGAGCAGGAACCTGGGAAAGGAGGATGGAGGATAATCAAGAACAGGTGAGACCTGATGAGAATAGCAGCGTCTAACAGTAAGAGACTGCTTGGACACTTCTCGGGCAACGTAAAGCGCAGCAACCACAGAGCTGCAGCCTCCTCACATAAAGGAGCGTCCACGGCCTCCGTGTACGTTACATCTTATTAACCACGGCGGTCTGCCTCCGCCGGGCTTTGTAAGACATCAGTCACCCGCCATGTGCTGCAGGGAGGAAACTCCGGCGCCGGTGCAGAAAATCCATCCTACCATAACAATCCATCCTGACGTGAACATATTGCCATTACACGTCCATGCAGCCGGCCGCATAATTCACCCACAGAGCGAATGATCAGAGGAAGCTTCAAGGTTTCCGCTCGCTTTTACGGTCCAATCGTTTCTGCGCCGACACCTCGAAGCCACGCGGCGCTCGCATTAAAACGACCTTGTTTCCCACGGTTTCCTGTCGGCACATTTAAATGGCTGACACAGCGAGGCCCACATCAAAGTGACGGGTAAATGAAAAACGAGCTTCTCCCCTTGTTAGCTAAATGTCCACATCATAATATACAGCTCCTTTTAATAGGAAGACGCCCCCAAACTACTCTTCTTTCTGGGTTTTTAATTTAAAAAATGCATATTATCAATAATTCAGCACCTTCACTGAGTTCTGCAGCTTTCCAGCCAAAGAGCGTTTAACAGTCACAAGAAGCTTATAGCTCACGGACGTGGGCACAAAACCTTTCAGCTTCATCATTTTAACAAAGTAGCACCAAAGTTTCTGTCAATTAATGCTGAAAACGTGCAAACTGTCAAAATACTTGAAACATTCGACTCTTCAGAGCACGTGCTGTGCTGTGTCTGGGAATATCGTCTTTATTTGAGACACATGAGATAGGGCTGTGCGATATGACTAAAATCTCAAATCCCGATATAAGAAGAAGTGTTCCCAGCTGGGCGTCGTGTAGCTGGAGTCGAGTGTTTTAACCGATGCATGAAACGATACATTTTTACACATAAGTTGTAACAGCCGCCGTTTTCTTTGTGAGGATTTATTACACGGCGTGCTGCGAGGAAAAGCCTGCTCTAACGTTGAGTCTAAGGTTTATTTGGAGCACCTGACGGCTCTTTGTTGCTTCCCGTGCGTAAACCCTCTCCACGCTGTCACGTGATTCTTGCCTAGGTGGAATACATTGCATCGTACAGTTTTCTGGTCCGTGTCAGACTTTTTATAACCAAACCATGTCCGTGCTACAGAGGGAGCCCCTCGTTTAGGAACAAGGTCCTCGATTTGTTTGGACTGGTCTTTGTGTTTGTCATCATTTCAGTTTATTTTGAAAAATCTCAACAGAATCTTCAGCTTTATTGTGAAAGGTTTATGTGGAAAATAAACAAGCGGACGGCGGAGCCACACGCTGGGTTTACCGTGGTTGTTGCTAACGATAACGCGTAAAAACAGTCGCTCGTCCGACCTCTGAGACTGGTTTCACCCAGCAAGCGCCGGCCAACCGGCTGGGAACGCACATTTATTCATAGGAACTCGGGGCTCACAAAATCGCTAGCCCGACGTCCCGGGGCTAGCGATTTTTTTCAGTCGGGCTACCAAAATCTATCTCTGCCCTGCCCGTCGGGCTATTGTAGGAAGGAAAAATATATGTCAATGCTTTTGCATTCTTTCAGAAATGTAGCTGGGTAATTATGTCATTGGCAGGACATGAATCAGTCTGTGTCAGATTCAGGATCTGACACAGACTGATTCATGTCCTGCACAGTTCTTACAAGTTCATAGACATGTCTGTTCAATGAGAACCAAGTATTTGAGTTGATGACTGTAATTTTTATACAATGTTGTGATTTGTATTTTAACTATTTTGTGATTAATTTTTGTTTCCGTTACAATATTATACATTAAAGTATAATATTGTAACGGAAACAAAACAGGAAACAAAACATAAAAATAAATTGCTCTTTTTTATGCGGGCTACTTAAATTTATTTTGGGCTACCAAAAACTGAAGAGTGCCGGCCCGAAGGGCTACCAGGGATTTAAAAATCTTGCAGTCTGTTTGGTAGCAGCATCAGCTTGAGGCTCAGATCACAGTTTATGGTCAAGAACATCCCCTAAAGCCTCTCCACAACCTCAGCATCAGCAGCTGTGATGAGCTACTACAATCAATAATCGCGTCTTTTGATTATGACACATTTAATAAAAGGAAGGACTCTCCACACACACTGTACATTCTCACAGCTGCTTTTCATGGGTAGAAAACTCAGATAAATAGAGGCCTACTAACAAAGAGCTCTTAAAACAAGCTGTGAGTGGCTGTCAAGTTCTCGCTTGTCTCGCCTCATTCTCAGACATTTTTCAGTAATTTATCAAAAGCAGGCGTAATAACAACACAAAAATGTAAAATCTGCATCCTGAGCCACACTTGTCAACAGTTTCAGTTCTTATTCTGAGTGAATTTGGAGAAGAAGAAAAAAAACACCAAATCTGAAAAATATTGGAAAAATACCATTTCTCTGTCCTTTCTTTGCTGTTGGCCAACGCGACTTTTTTAGCTCCTTTTACATGAAAACTAAAGCTGAAGATTCAAAAACAAAGATCTTGCAGCATGAAGACGTCTGGCTTAAAGAGAACGAGAGGTTTGTGGTTCCCGGGGCCCGTCTGAGGAACCCGGTGTCCCCGCCGCCGTGGTGACAACTGCACTCCAGCACATTAAACTCCGCCGGGGGAGCGGTCTTTATCAAGTCTGTAGGGAAGGCATTAATATTGTTGACGCGGTGACAAACGAGTTAACGCGGCACATCTCTCTGTCGCATTGATATTCGTGGCGGTGCCCGACATGCAGAAGGAGCTCTGTAAGGAGCCGCGGCAACAGACCAGGCAGGTTATCATAAACAAACACTTATTGGGGTTATTAGACTGCAGCGGGCACGAAACAAAGGCTGCTGCTTTCAAAGAGCAACAAGAGTCAGAGAGCGATGCTCCGTGTGCTCGGGGACGCCTCTTTATGTCGAAAAGCAGCTTCTCAGAGATCTGTCAGGAGTTCAACAAACCCAATTCCACTAAGCGCTTCAATTTATTCAGATGAGCCCGATACAGACGGTAAGAGCGGGGCTCACCGCTCGCTTTCAGATTCAGCGAGAGGTGAGCCCCGGAGCAGACCTGAGGTCAGCATATCAGCCGCTATCAAGCCGAGACATTGTGCTGTGCTTTTGCTCCAATTGCTAAAATTGAATTTCTGGGTCTCTGGGCTGGACTCCATCTCAGCCGGTGACTAATGTTAGCGTCCCAAAGCTTTTCCAGACCGATAAATCCACAGGGGAGGATGCAGCAAGGCAGCAGGAACGCTGATTACAGCCAGCCGCTGGGAGATTTCCCCACAAACCAGCTTCCACTTCTGCCTCCGCAGCAGTTCTGGGCTTTACAGGGGAAGCGGGAGGGGGGCCGTGGAGAAGCTCTGACCCACAGCTAAGTATGATGGAGGTTTAGGAAAGAGAGGGCTGTGGTGCTGAGGGAGGATCCGGGTGATGAAGAAGGATGCCCGAGGCAGCCGAGATGAGTTTTAATTACTGCACACTTTGTGCTCTCTGTAAACCTGCACCCGTAACACTGTGCTGTGGGTCCCTCTGGCACAACAGCCAATCAATGCCACCAGTGTTAGTGACATCAGTGATATCATGAGCCTGCAGGTGATGAAAGTAAATATCAACCCAACAAGAATGTCTGTGCAAGAGATGCAAACTAAGACTAAGACGGCAGCTAATCAGGCCGCAGGGGGACAAACCTCACGCCGGCCTGTACAGCAAAATCCATTCATTAACACAAACACGTCAATCTGCAGAGCTGCCTCTGAAATCATCCGAGTATGAGGCCAGTGTGAGAACGATATCTCAGACATCTGTGCGCACCGTCGATTGATTTCATGCATTTCCTGCCAGGTAAACTCCTTTTTTTCATTATTATTACGCGACCAAACAAACCACAAATAACAGCAGTCAGCTGCGAGAGTTCACGGCAAAGAAATGATCTGCTGTTGCTGAGGGGAAGAAAAGGAGCCGTACTGATAACATCTGTAACATCTGACATTAATGAGCCCGTCCAGCGCTTTCTATTCGATCTACATTTGGTTCCCTGAAGCTACACAGAACCTTTTTACTACACTTGTAACAGGAGAGATTTACATCCTGTACGACTTGTGGATATGGAATCATTAGACATCTCAAATATGAGTGCAGAAGTGTCCGTCCACTCGTCACAGGCATGATGTCAGGGTGATCTGAGCGGCTCTGTTTCCAGGGTTAACTGGATTAACAACGTTCAAAAGCAAGGATTGGCTTTTCCCTTTTCCCCTCGAGGATATGAAGACCAGGTGTGCCTGATGGCTTCAGACACAAAGGTGCAGAATGAGATAAAGAGAGATTATTTTGATAATCTGACTCGTGCAAAGCTGCTCTAGCAGAACCAAGAATAAAACCATGGAGTGTGTTCATCTGCACAACCAGAAGACTGAAAGAGAAACTCTTTATTCATCAAACTGTAGGATTCAGTGAGTGCTAGCTTTCCCCCTGCTTACAAACTGCACCCAGCATGTGCATTCGATACGTTCTGATCTGTAATAAAGAGAAAGAAGAGCGCACAGTCAGCGCATGTAAAACCTCTGCTGGTTTCACATGCAGCATGCAGGGTGTCGTCTGCTCAGCAACAACAAAAACCTAAACAAACGCAGGTCACGTCATAATACGAGGATGTGGAAGAGGGCGAACCTTATCTATGGGTGTGGCAACAACTGATAACAGACGGTCAGCTGTTGCAGGTCGGCCTTGAAGATGAATAAACACAGACACACGTTTAAAGGAATATCCTTTGAGATGGAGGACATGGCTGCAGCAGGCACGGCCGCCCAGATGTGTTCTTCTGATCAGAGCTTCACAAACTGTGTCAGCTCTCCTTATCTGGACAATCGACAAGCAGCTGTGCTGTCGTTGTGGAGTCAAAGCACCCAGCACCACCCACAGACTGAGCTCACTGTGGTCCTAAAGGCTCCACTCAGACCAGCGTGGCCCTTCTGTAATGCAGGACCTCAGCAAAGAGGAGGATTCACCCCAGAAAGCCACTCTCCTCCCAGACACCTCCAGGCTGTAGTCGTTACATGAAAAGGGCCTTTCTCTCTGAGACGCTGTAATTGCAGAGCAGCTGAACAAAAGGAAAGACGTAACTTCTATAGAGACGCAAAACTCTGACATGAACGTTATCACTCTTGTGAAAGTCATGAGATGACTCACCACGTCTGGATTCACCAAAAGTTTAACCGTGTAATTTCCACTTCCATCAACAACGAGCCTCAAATGTCACCGTCTCAGTATCCCACCATGACGCCTTCCCATGAGTTTGTTTTTAACCATTTCTGTCTCCAACACTTTGTCTCTTCTTCTACAGGAAAACAACAGATGCAGGAAGTCGTCCTTTAAAGTGGGGACAGACGAGAAGCTTCCTCTTCAGGAGGACGTAGAGCCCAGAGCGCCCGCAAATGTCACGGTCTGCCTGCGACCCAGCGTTCACCTCCACCTGTCCCCCAAAGGACGAGATGGACACCGAATGGATTTTCCCTCATCATATCTCTGAGACTTCCAGCAGACATCCCATAATTACCAGCAGGGTAGTCCACAGCGACCAGACTCATCAGCCATTTCTTCCTCTGCAGACGAAGCTCTTCTTCATCTCTCAGTCTTCACGGGAAAGATGTCAGCAGACTCTCAAACAAGCGAACCTTCGTTATCCTGTAAAAACAGCGACATACTCTTCCTCATGACGACAGCTGAACACTGTAAACAGGAAGCTGCTGTACACTCACAGCATTGTTACACTTAATTTAAGCCACGTCTGTTAATAATGCATCTGAAACTTTATTGCTTCAAGTCCTCTCAGTGCTCGACGTGGACGTGTTAAACTGTTTGCAGCCACACAGCTGAAGCTACACCGTCCCAGTCTCGATGTGAAACAGATTCACCTGGATATTGTTCATTTAACGTGTCATCATTGGAAACATCAGTGCGGTCTGCAGATTTGTCTTTTTTTAATCAGGTCCTTTGAAAAAGACAACATTTCATTTTGATGGTGAAACATCATGAACCAAAAAAATAAAAGCGTGCATGAATGTCCTCGTCGTATTTTAATCTCATACACTTCCATGCCAACGGGTTTGTGAAACATTAGTAGGGCTGCTCGATTAATCGAATTTTAATCTCGATTACGATCTGGGCTTTCAACGATCATTAAAAATGACCGAGCCGATTATTAGCCCCTCCCTCGTGCTTTACTCTCGCGCTGCTCCGTGTGGCAAATCGAGCGCACCTCTCTGCGTTTTGAACACGTGTCACAACAATTAAGATCAGCGGTCTCCAGCCTTTTTTGCACCACGGACCGGTTTATGCCCGACAATATTTTCACGGACCGGCCTTTAAGGTGTCGCGGATAACTACAACAAAATCAAACTAGTATCAGTACCGAAAAAAAGAAAATTTATTCATAACACACGTGAAAAGACCCAGGAACACAGAGTAAACGATAAAAACAATAACAAACTAACGCTGAAAACCGATAAAAACCCTGAAAACTAGACATTTCACACCTGAGCCTCAACTCTCGCGGCCCGGTACCAAATGACTCACGGACCAGTACCGGTCCAAGGCCCGGGGGTTGGGGACCGCTGATTAAGAGGACCCGAGGGAAGCTCGGAAAGCGAAGCAGAAGTTATTTGGAGAGGAGAGTGACTGCTGCTGGTTAAAAAGAGATAAAAAAAACTTCAGTGGTGTGGAAACATTGTGGGTTCAGTCAGACGTGGATCAAGCAGACACAGTGTGTAAACTTTGCTACAGTGTAGCTGCACCACAGAGCAACACTGCAAAGCTCACTGAACACAGATGTTTACATTTTTCATTTATTTCTTATATTGCAAACATTTGCACTGTTTTATATTATATTTTAAAGTCATTATTCAACACATTGTTATTGTTAAATAAATATCGTCAAATAATCGAGATCTCAATGTCAGTGAAAATAATCGTGATTATCATTTTTGCCATAATCGAGCCGCCCTAAACATTAGTATCATATGAAAGAGTCCATCCTTTGGCGATATCTACACATGGAGGTCACCTGATGGTGTGTTTGAATTCAGACACATTGGAGGGTTTTCCAACATGAAGCATCTCAGTCTGATTTAGAGCTGGCAACTCCAAATTCATCTGCATCATTGTCCTGCTGCCCGAGTGCTCTTGAGCTTCATGGCATGAACTGATGCGCGGACATCCTCCGTCAGGGTTTTCTGGTCGATTCATGGTTCCCTCAGTTACAGCGAGAGTCTGCCGCTGCTGTGATGATCTCTCATCAGATGTGACGGGGCTCAAACACTCTTTGGGATCATCCAGATGTGAGATGAGCCTTTGTGATCTTTTTGGTCAGCAGTGGTTTTCTCCTTAAACTCTCCCATGGAGCCATTTCTTCTCTTTCTTGTGGTTGAATCATGACCTCTGACGTCGTCGTTGGTCGAAGGTTCAGCACCGTTCCAGCGTCCTCCATGTGTGGATAACGGCTCTCACTGTGGTTCTGTGACCTTTCAGACTGATGGTTCTCAGCTGGTTCTTTAGATCGTGGCGTGATGTGCTGCTGGTGGAGATCTTTCAGCCTGCTTCACTTTATCAGACAGCTTCTGTTGTGGGGAGTTCTTCTGGTAGTAACTTTAATAATGGGGCACCGACTCTTCAAAAGAAGACGCTTTACACAGGAGGGGAATTTTCTGCTTTAGAATTTGCACAAAAAATCAATAAAGGAGTAAAACTGAAAATATTTTATAGTGTGGTAATGTTTGTAAGAGAACAGGCAGTTTAGGGGTTTATCCCCACACTGGTAGGTGATGTTCACCAAGTCCAAGCAGCTAAGATCTCAAGGAAAGGCCACCAGGAAGATAAACATCGATCTTGTGTGGACCCAGATCATCCACAGCACATCTGATGCCCATATATCCTGTAACAGACCAGACTGAGCTCCACAACAAAGTCTGTGACCGGCAAACACACACAAGCACCCTTATGCCCGCATTTAGAGGGCCAACTAAAAGCCCCCCCTCGACAACTTTGACATTTGCTCTGACTTTGTATGAGGTACTTATATGAAATAAGTCATTCGCCAGATAATCTCTTTAACCTTATCACTGAATATTTATTCATCTCCAGCCCGCCGAGCCTCGCCGTGCTCGCTCAGCCAAAACTAAGGTGATTACTGGACGGGTGTCAGTGTTGACTGTAAGCTGGGCGGATCCAGGCCCACTGCCCGGGACACAAATGGGATTTGTCTCTCATGCAGAACATCAGACGTGGCTTTTTAGGCAACGGCAGCAGGGAAGGCATTACAAAAATGCCTGCTTCCGCTCACCTTGGAGGACTAATGGGCAGTTTGGCCCACCAGCGATGCAGTCATTAGCTCCGGCAGCCACTCTGGAACACAAATACAGGCTGAAAGCCACTCGACAGCACAGAAATTACACCGAAATAACCTGGCCGAGGCAGCACTGCACATCTTTCTCCTTGTGGCTGCTTCACAGGCTTGTTATGAACCAAATAGCAGGTGTCAAAATGCACTTGTCAAGAGAAACGACAGCAAAAATCACAAATGACAGCACTTAGAAGAGAACAAATGAGACATCTCCTCCCGAGTGCGATATTTCGGGTGAAATGTGGGTTTCTTTCCCCAAAGCTTTCGTGAGCTGGGGGTGAAAAAAAAGTTAACTTCCTCCCTGCTGAGGCCGTTTAGCAGCAAACACCACGGAACAGCACGACTCCTCCCACCGCCACATCACACTGCAGCAACGCAACCAGGACGCACATCTACACCACATGTCACCTACACCTGCTGCACCTGTCAGTCTGCAGCTGACCAGAAGCTGGTGGGTGGAGTCATATTCAGCCAAGCAGTTTCTGTCATTTTCCCTCTGAAATATGAAATGCATAAATATTTGAAGTTGACTTATGTAAGCCTCCTTATTTGTATTCCTAAATGCTCACATAGAAGTGGGCGGGGCTTCTGCGTTCACAGTCAGGGTGGCCGTCTGACATGACCATATTAGGGCAATCTGCTCTCTATGACATCACACAGATTCAAGAACAGAAAAACTGAGCATTTAGAGTCTGAAGCCTGAGAGTGTGGCTCCCACAGATGACTCCTCCCACTGACCTCCCTAACAGGAACAACCTGCCCTGGAACAGGAAATAAAGCAGCTCCAGTGTCAGCACCAAACATCTGCTCTACTGAACACCTGCTATGATCGTTACAGTAAGACCTATGTTTCTCTCACCCCAACCAATCACAGCAGATGGCCCCGCCCCTCCCTCAGCCTGGTTCTGCTGGAGGTTTCTTCCTGTTAAAAGGGAGTTTTTCCTTCCCACTGTCGCCAAAGTGCTCGATCATAGGGGGACATATGATTGTTGGGTTTTTCTCCGTATATATTATTGTAGGGTCGACCTTACAGTATAAAGCAGCTTGAGCGACTGATTAGTTCTGTATTATAACTGAATTGTTCTCGTTGCTGAAGTTAAAGCAGCATAAAACAGACTCAGCAGACTGATTAGAATCAATCACAACGTTTAGTCATTTTCACTAAATGAATACAGGAAATATTCATAAATATGCACTCATTAATGCATAATTACATCTTCCAACAAACTGATTCATTCTCAAACTTAATCTGTTAAAAACACACAGCAGCTGGTGGTGGAAGCTGCCGTGTTTGTACTCCATCTTTTATATACAGTCTATGGGCTCCAACGCATGTTTCGACCTTGGACGGATTCTGAAAAATGTGCTATAAATAAATATTTTGCTCATTTCTTGTGTGCGTGTCTCATTTTGTTATGTACTGTAGATTTATTTGTTTATGTAATAAAAAGTAATAAAAAATATCATTCAGCTGTGCGAGTCCACAACAACAATATAATCTGATATTCCTGCGGAGGGAGGACAGCAGCGCGGCTGATTACATCTGTAATATCTGACATTTAATCAAGCTGGCAGCTCAAACTGCCTTTCAGCAACATGACAGCATAACATTATCGCTACTGTGGAAATTATACTGCAGCTCAGAGTATTTCATGAAAAGAAATCTAGAGTTACTAATCAAATTCATATTACTGAAACACAACAAAAGGGTCCTTCGAACAAAGGAAGAAGCGAAAGCTGCAATTATTACCGAGCTCCACAAACTTTTAGAATCAGTTATCTTTCCACCAGTGTTTTTTTTTTGTGTGATGAATCTTTAAAATGTCAGAAACGTCCATCAAATCTGCCCCTCTGTGTTCCCAACGGAAACTCAATATTCAGCTTACAGCTAATCTAAACAAAAAGAAAAATGAATAAAAGTCCCAAACTGAACGACAGTTCTGTTAATCTACCAACTAAAAATCAGGCGGCAGCAGCTGCTAAGCTAAGCTCGATCTCTATCTGCCAGCAGAAGCATCCCCACGGGCGTTTGAGGACGGACGACCTTAAAAATATGATCAAAGTATCGAACGCGTCAACATCTGAGGACAGACGGAGACGGTGAGGCTGGTGTGGAACAGCAAGGTCCAGGGCATAACTGAGAACAGCATCATCTTAGTCAAATGTCAGTTGTTGAGTGTAAACATAACAGGATGATGGACTTAAACAGCATCAGCACTGCTGCAGCAGTGATGGAGACGAGCTGAACGAAATCAGACGCTCTCTCTCACAGAGGGCGGATCCACACACTCGATCCGGCAGATTTTCATGTCGGGTGCAGATCAGGCAAATGTGTTAACCACCACACTATGGAGCCACTGAGCAGCTATAAGAGGAAGAGCATGATATAAAGACCCAGTGTGCACCGCCTCATGCTTCCTTTAGGGGTCGCCACACTGCTTCAGCTGCCTCCACCTCCTCCTACCCCAGCATCCTCGTCTGTCACTCCAACCCTCTGCACCAATCCTTCACTGCATCCATGAACCTCCTCTGAGGTCTTCCTCCTGCCTGGCAGCTCCACCTTCATCATCCTCTGCACAGATATTATCAATGAAACTGCAGCAGACCTGTGTGAATCAGACCGCTGAAGAAGTCCTGATCCACCTGCTGTAATTAGTTCAGTTTATTTCTGCCTCTGTCCGCATGAATCCTGCTGCGCTCTGTCCATTAAAGGGAGGAGCAGACACTTCCTGTTTGAAACCAATATTTTTGTCTGTGACTGTTTTTGTTCTCATGTCCTTGGATGTGCTGCTACTTGCTCTCAGGATTA